CCACTGCATGGAAGACCTGGGCTTCCTAGCCTCTCTGTGCTGCATTTTCAGAGAGTGTGGCAAGGTGATATATGGTGAAGGAGCACTGTTCTGGGGGGAGAAAGGCAGTGGGAGGGTTCACCCCAATAATACGAGCCAGGGTGACCCGCCTCTGCTGTCTAGGCTCACTTTCTGCATGAGGTCGCAGAAAGTGGGGTTGTGTGGACAGCAGGCTGGCACTAAGGGCCCTCCCCATCACCCTGCATTATAATTCTGTGAGGAGGCAGAAGGGTGGGAGCCATGCGGCGCTGGGGCAGGACTCGCCAGTGTAGACACTTGCACGGTTACGCGTCTTATAAGGGGCTGGGGACAAGACCAGCAGCTGGACTCTGGAGGGGTTGCAAGGAGCGAACCTTCTCCTGTGGGAGGGATGGAGGGGTCCTGATTGATCCCTGGTAAAATCTCAGGGACTTTGTACACTGCAGAATGTGTGACGTTGAGCTCTGCCATGAGAGAGATGGGCCAGCACTCTGCCCATAGCTACTGAGGCGATCACAGCAGGTGCAGGGCACAGATGCCAGGAACCCCGGACTGGATACTGAGGCCTGGACCTTCAGAAATCGACCATCCCCCAGAAGGAGGATGAGGGTTGGCTGAATGGGTCCCTAGGAAGGTGGCTCATGTCCAGCCAGACCCCAGGCAGGGTTATTTTTAACTCGAAGCAGGGAGATCTATTATGGGAAAGCGCCCCTCACTGGTAGCTGCTCTGGTAAGAAGCTTGCTGCCCATCTGCCGGCCTGCCACCCACTCGTCCTTCTTCTCACCACTCCCAAAGGAATGCAAACACCCAACAGACAGACTCTTGAGTCCACGCTGAGTATAAGGGACCTGGAGGGAGCTCACCACGTCTCCTGCCTGCCCCTTCCACAGATATTTTGGCTGAGCACCTCATGAAAGCCCTCAGGCCCCTCCAGCTATTGTCCTCCCCTCTTCTCCTGGTGCCCAGTGGGTGTTGTCTATGCTGAGTGTCTATGTCCTTGACCTCTGCCTCACCACTGTCCTGAGAGTGCTCTCACCATAGCCACCAATGAGCTCTATGTGGCTAAACCCAACGGGTACTTTCTAGGCCTTTAAATGCTGATGTGTCCTTTACCTTTAACACCACTGACCCCTCCCAGACCTCCAGCTTCTACAACACTGTTTCTCCTGGTTTCCTTCTGACTGCTCAGCTGCTCCTCGTTCAGCTCCCCTAGGGTGGAGTTCCAGCTTGCTTGGGGCCCTTCTGGTTTTAGCACTAGAAGTCCCACAGCTGAGCTCCCCCAGTTCAGGGCAAATGAGGATCATTGCTGAGCCCAGACTCACCCTGCCCAGTTGGGAAGCTCCACGTCTCACTCTTGCCTCTGCTCTCTTCTCAGAGTCCATGCTCTCCTGGGGGTGCTCTCCCATTTCCGTGGCTTCAACCACCATCTGGGTGGGGACAATCCCCATCTGAGACCCAGAGCCATGAGCTAACTGCCCACTGAGCACCTCTGCTCAGATGTCTTCTGGAAACTCAAACTCACTATGCTTACATCTGACCTACTGTCTGACCCTAATGGCTCACCTTTCTGGTCTCCCTTTGCAATGAAGAGCTCCACTATCAACCTAGGAATTACATATTCTAAACACCTGTCCCCGCCAATTAACGACCTAATCTTGTCCATTTTTACCTCCTAAATCCCTTGACTCTCGCCAAGTGTTTCTATCCCCACTGTCACTCCCATAGTGCAGATCACCACCATCTTTTGTCCTAATCAGGACAAATTCTAGAGGGAACGTCAACAGTGGTCATTCCTGGGACAGTGAGTTTTGTGGGTTGAATTGTCCCCCAAAAGATCTGAAGTCCTACCATGTGACCTTATTTGGAAATTAGGATCTATGCAGATGTAATCAAGTTACAATGAGGTCATTAGGGTGGGCAAAGAAAATGTCACATGGAGACAGAGACACAGGAAGAACAGTGTGTGATGACAGAGGCTGAGGTTGGAACAATGCAGCTGCAAGCCAAGGAATGCCTGGAATTGCTAGCCACCACCAGAAGTCAGGAAGAGATGAGAGAAGATTCTACCCAGAGTCTCATGACCCTGCTGATACCTTGATTTTGGACTTCTGGCATCCAGAGCTCTGAGAGAATAAATTTCTGTTGTTGAAGTCACCTGGTTTATGGTACTTTGTTATGGCAGCCCTAGGAACTTAATACACTGAGATATGAGCAATTTTTATTTTCTTATTGATATTTATCAGCATTTTAGAGATTTCCTGTAGTGGATACATAAGACTTTTATGATCAGGAAGAAGATATTTATTCTTTAAAATAATCCTCACTCAGCGAGAATCCTAAATACCCTATTGGATTTATGTCTGAGAATCGAAACTATCTACACCCACACAGCTTACTGACCACATCAACATGGTTCTATTATTCCACTGTCTTCATCAACACGACTTCACTATTCCAGGAAACTCTTTCCCAGAAAGATAAACGCTGCAAATAAAATAAGTTTATTATTCATTTCAGGAACATTCCAAGAAATATTTAAACAAACATCAAATTATTCAACTTTTTCATAGCATCAAATGACTGTCTACTCTCCAAGACTCTTTGGAACCCTTGCCTTGCTGTGTCCACCAATCCAAAACTATTATACCATGATCCTTCCAAATCTTAAGCAATTTAATTAATCTTAATGAAAGACCCTGAAAATGCCTTTGCCTTTCTGAGATCTTCTAAGATTTTGTCAAGAGGTGTCCCCCTTCCTATGGTCAGTAGGCATCACAGCTCTGCCTCACCAGCAGGTTGATTTGGTGGTATTTTCAGGCCTTTTTATATAGAATATATCCAAAATATTGCAGTTATTGAATGCCTTCTGTGTGCAGAGACTGAGCTAAGCACTTAAAATATACCATTTCAGGGTATTTGCTAAATGAACTGTTAAAAGGTAAAATGAGGCATATAAAACATTTTAAGAGTTTATTTGAGCAAAATATGAGGTGTGATCAAACAATGAGGTGAATGCTTACATTAAAAAAAATTATTACAGTAAAAGACACATTGCCATTAATCCCCCTCAAAATACTGCCCCTCACTTCGAACATACTTATCTCATTGTTCTTGCCACTTTCTGAAGCAGTTCTGGAAGTCCTCTTTCATGAGTGTCTTTAGTTGTGCTGTCGTGGCTGCCTCAATGTCCTGAATCATTTTGACTTTGAGGAAGAGCCATAAGTCACACGGTGCCAGATCCGGTGAATAAGGTTGATGAGGACACACCATGATGTTTTTATTTCACAGAAGTTGCTGTACCTGAAGCGATGTGTGACCCAGAGCATAGTCATGATGGAGGATGATTTACAGCACACTTTAAAACACACCTTCTCTCAACCGTAGCTCACACCCGACTGACGGCACAGAACAAGTTGAAACTTGTCACATGCTGTTACTAAGGTTCGATGTGCTGCTTCCTGTACTGAAGACCCCTGCCTTTCTGTTAGATGGCACTCGGCAGCAGCATTCACTGTATTTTGTGATCACAACAGAAAGGCTCTGTGTCACCCATTGATTGCTTCTGGTACAGCAATTTCTGTCAAATAAAAACATTACGGTGAGTCCTCATCCATTTTATTCACCAGATCCGGCATGATGTGACTTCTGGCTCTTCCCCAAAGTCAAAATGATTCAGGACATTGAGGCAGCCATGACAGCATGTCTAAAGACACTCATGAAAGAGGACTTCCAGAACTGCTTCAGAAAGTGGGAAGAATGATGGGATAAGTGCGTTTAAAGAGAGGGGGAGTATTTTGAGGGGGATTAATGGCAATGTGTCTTTTACCGTAATAATTATTTTTTATTTAAACATTCACTGTATTGTTGGATCACACCTCGTAGATTCAAATCAGGCAGCATTGAATCTAGCAGACAGAAAGGAGCTCTGAGGAGCTTTATAAAATGAAAGATTTTTGTAAGCAGAAGAGAACCAGAATAAAGAAGTTACACCAGGCAAAAAAAAAAAGGGGGTTGATCATTACAAGGTTACTTTCCTTTAGGGGATGGCAGGGGCCTATCAGGCAGATGGCCTACCTAGTGCTGATCAGGTGATTCCTGGTTGACTGGTTTTACACACCATTTCTGGGAGATCCAAAAGTATAATTAAGTCTCAGTTTGGTGACATGGAGCTTAGCATAAGCGACTCCATTTTGGGACTATTGCCTTGTTTTTAACAAACCCCAGGTTAGAAATGATCCTCATTTTGTAGCTGGGAAAATAGACTGAGCCAATAATAGTGGTATACACAAAACCATGCCGTTAGTACCTGTACAGCGTACTTCTAGCTGGCTGCAAAGCCTATACTCTGAGGACTCTGCCTCTCCAAATTTAGTGAGACGCTAATACAAAATACACATACTCCAGTGTCTGGCTCATTTGGGCAGCTAACAGTATTCTGCTCCCAATTATTCTGAATATTGCCTCAAGTGGACAGATTCCACTCCTCCTAGAAGAACTCACCCAGCGGATTCCCTGAGGGGAGTCGCTATAGAGACCATTCCCATTTCATGCAGAGGCCCCAGGACTCCTGTTTCTCTGCCCTGGACTGAGAATGGGAACCATGAAAAGCAAATGGGCTTCAGTGGGAAACAAGCAATTATTTCAGGCATCACATTTCCCACAAGGCCCTGGTGCAACAAGTTAGCAGGGAAAAAAGAGCCGGACCCTTTGTACAGGCCGTGGGAACACAAAGCTCATTGTTACTTTTATACATCCTCTATTCAGATGCCATGTGGTACGGACTCCATGCCAACCTGCAGATGGATTCTTTTCTTTCCCCTCAGTAGCAAATGTACACATTTGCTTTAAAGTAGGCAGAATTTGCTCATGGGTGGTCTTTGATTTGGAAGAAATCAACCTCAGAGTGGTGACTCATAAAAAGCAAAAGTGGCTTGACTCATTCAGTGCTGTGGAGGGATATGCGTGTGCAGAACTCACTTACCCAGAAGAAGAAGTTGAAGACAAAGAGCAAGTACTTCAGGTAGACGATAAGCCAGTCATCCTGCTCAACTTTGTAATGGGCCATGGTTGCTGGACCTGCAAAGAAGACGCACGTGCTGGGCTGGAGGGCCCACAGAGAACCACCTTGCTCTTCCCAGAGCCGGAGCTCCTTGGCAAAGTGCCCTCCAAAGGGCTTACTAGCTCGTCTAGTCAGATGAGTTTCAAGCTGTGGGTGTGAAACCTGGAGCAAAGAGCAGGGAATGCAAAGGCTATTGACACAGTGGAGGTGAGTTGGGCAGAATTTTCAAGACCTCTGGATCTCGGTTTTGTCCTTTGACACAGGTCTAACCTACGAGTCTTCCTAAAGACTGCAGTCTTTATAAAGAACTATAATATAGAACTATAATAAAGAACTATAATAAAGAATTCCTTGTGTTCTTATTCTCTTCCCGTCTCGTCAGGTGTGCAGGACACAAGTTTACTTGTCTCATACACACACACACACACACACACACACACACACACACACACACACACATGGCATACCTGCTTTGCATTGGAATCCTGCATTCTGCATCATTTGAACAGGACCTCTGCGTGCATGGGTGAGGCATGAGCCCCACATCACAGGGTCCTTGCTGGAAAGGACCTTGATGATCACCCAGTCCACCCCAGCTCCCCCTGCACCTTGACTTTCCAAATGAGGAAGAAGGTCGGTATGCCGAGTGGGCTGGCAGGAAGAAGTACAAAAGCTCTGGAGTCTGACTCCCTGGGACCAAACCCGGGTCTGTCATAAGATGCATGAGACTTAGGACAAGTCCTATTCCTCAGTGTCCTTATCTGTAAATGAGGATAATAATGATACTTACATTGCAGGGTTGTTCTGAAGATCAAATAGGATAATCTATGTGAGATGTTTAGTATAATCCATGGCGCATAATAAGTGCTCAATGAATGTTAGCTATTATTACTACATGTAGCAGGGATTAGAACCCATGGCTCCAGCCCTAACATTCCTAGTCTTGACCCAGAACCATGCTCCCTCTCCTTGCCCTGATGTCCACTCATGGTCTCTCTGGAAACTGTGACATCAGTGGTGACAAAGGTGGGGAAGGATCATTGTGCCCGGGAATCCCATTTGCTTCTCAGTAAGTCTGAACTGCTGGTGTGGTTTCCTCTTCTGTTCAGGCCCCTGACACCTGCACACACACTCCGCACTCACAGTGGAGAGGCTCCTTAAGAAACCGCCCCCTTTAGGGCACCTCTTTTATTCTAGAACCATACGCCGTGAGGCGTTATGTGGCTCATCTCCGTCTCTTTCTCCCTCACGCCCCACCTCCAGCCAGGCCTCCTCACTGGCCTGCTCCTTCCCCTGCGCTGGTGCTGGGTCGAGCCCAGGTCACTTCCTCCTGAGCTACTATTCTGCCTTTTACTTGAAGCTCATGGGCTCTGGGGACAGGGAGAGAGGGAGAGAGAAAAGAAAGGGGACTGTCTTACTTGGGATTTCTATTTGTAGACCTTGAAGAAAGTAATTTAAGACTTTTAGTCTTTTCATTAAAAAAAGACAAAACCCATTTTTCTCTAATTTAGTCTAAGACTCAGGGTGGTGGACAAAAATACAAAAGGAGGGGGAAAAAAAAAGCCTATAAAAATGGTGACAGATGGGTTCAGCCAGGAGACTGGAATGGTAGCTGTTACGTGGTCATTCTGCAGGAGGCCCTGACAAGAGGTCCTCTAGGCCACGTGAACCATTAGGAAATTGACTGTCTGGGGCCCAGTCTCTTCCGTCTGCATTCTCTCCTCCCTTCCCCTGTCCCTCCCCTCCCCTCGCAACGCTGGACTCATGCCACAGGACCTTCTCTAGACCTGCAAACCGAGAGGTCAGGACCCTCTAAAGGAAAACTGTATTGTTTAAAAAAGAGTTCAGGCACAAGACAGAATTCAACAAAAAGAAACACACTTCTAATGGTAAAATCCCACCCATTAGTGGTAGAAGAGATATAACCACGGAATGTCAGGGTTAGGGGAAACCTTTGGGCTCACTTTAATTCAAACTTTTGCAGAAGGAATGAGGAAATTAACACACGCCTAAGTTAAGACACACATTTTTTAAATGACCTCTCTGAAGTCACAGGCTAATTGGCGGTGGCAGTTTCCTATCCCCATTGTTCAGTGCTCTTTCCCTCACCGCACCCCTCCCCCATTGTATGTGGGGCCCTGTGCTGGGGGTGGCAGGGGCCCCAAAGAAGTGCCAGTACTAGCTTGGAACCAGATGCCTGGATCAAAGCTAGCTTTGTCATTTCCCAGCTGTGTGAGCTTTGCCAAGTTACTTAATCTCTCAGTGCCACTAACATTTATTGAGCACTTACATGCGGGGCATAAGATGTGTTATCTTGTTCCATCTTTCCAACAGCTCTATGAAGTAGGGTTATTCCCATTTGGCAAGATAAGGAAATTGAGGCTGAGACAGGTCAAACAACCTGCTCCAAGTCATATATTACAGCAAGAAGTGGCAAGGCCAGACTAGAATGAGGAGCTTCTGACTCTGCTCAAACTCTTATCCACTGTGCAGTGCTCTCAGGACCAGAGCTGCCAGGGGAAGGGAGGAGGGGAGGGGCAGACACTGCCAGTTTCCCTAATATTTGTTTTCCCCTTCTGCCTCAAGACTAGAATTTCTCAGTTTTAGAGACTTGGTCACCTGGGGCAGATGACATTGCCCAGCACCCCTTCCTGCTAGGTGTAAGCAAATGGCATGTAAGCAGAAGTGGTGTATGCAGCTTCTTTGAGGTATCTTTTTTTTGGTGTGTTTCACATGTGCTTGAAATAATGTGATTCCTGTCATTGTAGGGTGCAGAATTCTCTATGTGTCAATTAGCTCAAAATTGTTAACTGTATTTGTCACACCTATATCCTTACTGATTTTGTGTCTTCTTGTTTCATTGTCTATTGAAAAAGGTATATTATAGATTCCCACTATGACCAGGAATTTGTCTAGCCTTCCCTAATTTTGTGCACTATTGCTTTATATACTTTGCAATGATTTTACGGAGTGCATATAGATTTGGAATTGTATCATCCTGGTGAGTCGATCCCTTTGTCAGTAATAAATGTCATGCTTTATCTCTAATAACCAGAAATATCCTTAAGGTGAGGAGGGGGCATGTTTCTATTCACCCTTTCCTTCTTTCTGTTGGTTGGAATACTGAGGTAATGGCTGGCAATGAAGCAGCCATTTTGAGCCATGAGCCAGTGGCAGCGGGCACAGAGAGCAGGGTACCGATACAGGCAGGCAGCGTGTACAATTAAGAGGCAGCAGAGGAAAGGCCTCCAAGGAGGAAGAAGGGGAAGCCATACAGGAGACTGACACAATGGAGAGGACAGGAGGAGAGCAGGGGCGCGTGTCACAATGCTGGGAAGAGGGGGCGGTCCCCAGTGTTCCCTGCTGCCCAGAGATCCGAGTCACGTAAAGGCCAACCAGGTCAGAGTAGCATCCGTGGAGGATGGCAGTGGTTAGGGATCAGGGAGAGGGCAGGAAATGGTGACCTGGGGTGGATATTTTCAAAGAAGGCTAGGGGAGCAGTCAGGCAAAGGCCTAGGGCAAAGGAGCCTGTCTGCACTGTAAAGAAGGGAGACTTTCACATGCTCATTTCTCTGGACAAGACTCCACAGCCCATGCACTCCTACTACCCGGTGCCAGCGATGGGTGGAGAGGGCTGAGGGCTGAAGCAGCAACACTCCCCAGGTGGTTCCAAATGGGACCTATGTACTTCCCTGTGGTGAGAGAGTAATACTGGGGGGCAGGGGAGGAGACAGAGGGGGTGGGGGTGGGCTGGCCAAAGCAGCCCCTGGCGAGGGGAAAAGCAAACACAGGCTGCCTGACTGGCCATACCTCCCCAGCCAGTGAACAGAGGAACCAGGGCTCCAGATAATTTCCCATTTTCACCGAGCTCTAAGGAGTGTCATGATTTCTGGGAAACACACTGACTTTCCTAAGTGGGCTCTATTCTGTCCAGTTCTGTCCAGAGGATGGGGAGTTGTACTTCCTGAAAAAATGAAGGACGTGTCCCTAAGGGGCAAGAGGCAGACAGTGGGTGGTAGGCCAGGCAGAGACCCTCCCCACCCCCGCCCTGGGTGGCCCTGGATGAGCCTGTGAGCTCAAAGAAGAGGTGGCTGTGCTACTTCAGCCAAGCTGACCTCTTCTTTGGCTCTTAACAGACATGTGGCAGCTCCCCCTGGGCCTGTGCTCCCCTGAGGCCTGAGTCTGCATCTGAAGGGCCAGCGCTGCCTGGCCAGTGCTCCAGGCTCAGCGGGGCCCCCCTCTCTGAAGGTGGCCTCCCTACCTTCCCTGCCTGACCTCAGTGCCCACTGATGACAGCAATCGGTTTGGGTCCTTTTCAGTACCTTTTCTTTCTTCTAACAGGCTGCCTGATGGACTTTAGAGAATCTGCTCTGAGTGCTGACTGAGCAGGCAGCTGTGCAGTGCGATGGGCACAGGGCACTCTCCTAGCTCGGCCCCCTAACTGCTCCTTGCACTTGGGCAAGTTATTTCCCTGCTCTGGGTGTTTGAGTCCCATCTGTAAGGTAGGGAGTGGTTCTCCCGGGCGAGCACCACAATTATCTGGAGGGCTGGTTAAAACAGCTTGCCCAGCCTCAACCCCTGGGTTTCAGATTCATTAGGTTTCAGGAGGGACCCTGGAGAACATAGTCCCAGGCAGGGTGACCAACCATCTGATTCACCCAGGACTGAGGGATTTCTCTGAATATGGGACTTTCAGTGCTAAACCTGGATAATTCCAGGCAAACTGGGGCGCTACTCCCAGATGCTGCCAAGACTGGGGATCTTGGGATCACACTTTGAATCAGTATCTGAGCATCTGAGTGGATAAGACTGAGTGAGGTAGGGGTGGAACACCAGGGTAGGTGTCCTCTCACATAAATCCACATTTAGGACAGTTCCTGTTGAAACGCCAAAGATTTCCCAGATAGCCTGGTAATGCAGCTTCAGGGCGCCGACCCCTCCAGGCCAAGGTCCTGACGGCAGAACAAAGATGGGATTCAGGGCAGCCAGCCTGGGGCTACTGAGGGCATAGTCAGGA